CTTTTGCGCATAAAACCCCCTCTGAAATATTCCTGTAGAGTTTTTGGAGCGCTAAACCCAGTCCAAGCTACGTGTCATCTTGTAGAACTCCATGTTTCCGGTTTTGACGTGAAATTCTTTGAAAGCTCCGCAATCCAGTCGCGGAAGCGAGACTTTGCGCAAAATGAAATTGAAGTTCTACGGATTATGGACATTTAATGTAACTATTTTTAGCTTTATAAGGGAATGATTTGTCAACGGCCTTAACAAAAAAAACACCAAAAAAACAAAACAAACAAAACAGCGTAATAAACAAAAACAGCAAACGAACAAACAAGGAAACGAAGAATCCCAAATGTCGAAAATCAAAATTTGTACAAAAAAGTTCTCAGCGCCTGTAAGTAATGCTGCCAACTCTGGTCACTTCTGTGGGAGAATAAAATACAGAAAAATAATATTGTTGTTCCTTTTTTCCCCTTTTCCGTTGGCATCGTTCACTTCTGCAGACCACCATCTTTGCTGTTGCGGTTAGGCGCTTCGCTGCAGGACATAGAACACGGGCGTTCATTTCCCGAGTGTGGTGAATCTTAACCCTATCCGTACGCCCTGGGGTCATTTTATACTCCCATGGTGGTATTCTTCACATTTTACAATACTTGTAGTACGAAGATCTCTTTGAAACTTTTAGTTAACGATTTGTTATTCTTTCTACATTATATGGTCGCTTTTAAGGACAAGCGGGGGCTAACCCAGATTTCGGGGGTTTCCAGATATCTTGACCTACACCAAAAAATGGGCATTGCTCTACCTATAGGAGGAGTTAAATTTTTATTGGTGTGTATATTTGTTTGTTTATAGAGAAAACTCTCCTTGTCTTTTAAAGAAACTGAACAAGAGGCAAAAACTTTACCTCCGATGTTCGCAAAACAGCATTTTTCGCGAGAGCCCCCTTGTGCTTAAAAGCGACCATATGTATTGTTATGTCTACATTGTATGCATACTTTGCTTCTAATTCATGGGGGGGAAAATATATATTCTTGCAGGTTTCAGATGCATGACCAAGGTCAGGTGAGAGATCGTCGTTACCATCTGCGCAAGTACAGGAAGTGTCTCATTGGACGCGATGCCGTTGATTGGTTGGTGAAGCTGTACCACGTGACTAGTAGGGAGGAGGCCGTGGCAGCCATGAAAATATTGCAGAAGTATGGAATCTTACATCATGGTATGTACACGGAGGTTTGGGTTTGATTATGAGGGCGTTTGTTTGTGTGTATAATAATATTATGTGTTTGTGTACTAGAGAGGAATAGATGGGTTGGGGACAAAACAGATTGAGTCTTGTAATTAAATTCCTGCATGGGGTTGAATGATACATCTGATGTGGTATGTACATTTATTTGTCAGCTTTACTCCTCTTTTCATATTGAATTTTAATTAGAGTAATATCTAATTTAAGTTCTTATGTATACCTGCATGTGTTTTTACTGCCCTGTACAGCCAAGAAAAATGTCCCTCTGGGATAATAAAGTATTATCTTATCTTATCTTATCCTTTCTTATCTTATTCTATCTTTTGATTTCTTATTTTATCTCACTTATTTATCTTATCCTATTTTATCTTACGTATCTTATCTTATCTTATCTTATCTTATCTTATCTTATCTTATCTGATCTTATCTTATCTTATCTTATCTTATCTTATCTTATCTTATCTTATCTTATCTTATCTTATCTTATATTATCTTATCTTGCCTATGTTTGTATGTGTGTGTCTTCCAGTTGCTGACGACCACGACTTCAAAGACGCCCACCTGTTCTACCGTTTCACTCGGGATGACGACACGTTCAAGGTCAACCGGGAACTCTCCGCCTTCTACAGGGGAGTAGAGCTCTATCGCAAGTGAGTCACGCACTTCTCTCAAGGGCGGCTGGCGGGTGCTCAGGGCGGTGTGGTTTGCTCCTTCTTTCCTTTCAAACATCTATCGTATTTCCAACCCCC